GTTCGTCCGAACGACACGGCAGAGAGAGGAGACCTAGAGAGGCCGCGATCCAGGCCCGTACCGCGTCGCGGCTCTCTTCTCGCTTCCGTAAAAATGCTACGCAGGTGCTGGCATGACCTTGAACCAGATATGAGAAAACACTTGGTCGACCACGCGAAAGGGAGGCCGCTTCTTGATTGTGTCTGCACTAGGCAAGTCGGATCCTAAGCCAATACGACCCGCTCGTTCGTCCTCCCGCGGAACCCTCAGAAACTCCGAAACTGCTCGAAGATCGGCATTGCTCTCCGCGTGTCTCATGAACGGCTCCATAAGATCTCCGTCGTTGGCCTGGTACCACACCTTGCATGCAAGCCATTGACGCTCGCACGCCCAACAGACGATGTCGCCTTCGAGCTGCGTGAGACAGCATCTGTCCCATGACCGGACTGAGCGTAGGGGGCAAGTCGAAGCCACCCTGCCAGACGAAGCACCAGACCGCATCATAGAAGAAGCTAGTTGAGGTGAGGTTGCCTGAAGGTACTTGGTGACTGTAATCGGCGCATGACGTCGGAATATGGGAGGATGGGGGGGTCCATGGACTGGCCGAAGTGACTTGTATTGAGGGTGGTCCCGCAGATAGCAAACGAGGAGAGTAGCTGGGCATGAGGTCACCACGGCATGGGTAGCCTTGTACAGCCTGAATGTTTCAATGGAAGCAAAGTGATTGACCGTCATTCAGCCTCGTACTCGTGTGAGGCGGTGGACTCACTTCGGGCATGTCAACGAGAGCCAGCTCTGGGCCGTAGGAAGTATGTTCACCGCAACGCTTTCGATGAGTCCTAGAGGTTGAGAAATAGGATGATACTGCGAGAGCTTGCTGGGTTTGACGCCCTCATTGATCATCGAGCGTGCCTGTTGCCAGTTGAACACAAGTCAGAAGGCAGCACTCGAAGTACCTTTGCGTGGCAACACACCTCTCCGAGGTTTCTTCTAGATCCCAGTCTTCGTCTTCATAAGACTCCGGTATCTGATGGGGGATTGTGAATCAGAGTATCTAGGCCGGTGAAGCAGGCGTCAGACCTTCTTCTCCGCAAATATGAACTGTCCGGCGACGGTCCTCTACGATATTGTGAAGATGTGCTAAACTCCTAAGCTATGCACACTGTCTCACCTGTATCCTCACGGATGACCTCAAAACTTTATGCCGTGACCCCTACCCTGAATGAAACGCTGACATGGAAGCGACGTCGTACAGGGAAGCCTTCGTCCTGGGCGGTGTGCGTCTGTGGGCTTCGGGACCGTACGCAAGACGTACCTCTTCCTTGTAAACTCTCACTCCCAATCCTGGAGCAGTGGCCTTCCCCGACTTGCGCAGATGCCGAGCTCGAGCGTTCGTACGATGAATGGGTTCTTTGGAACTCTATTCGCGCTGGATCAACCCAACTGAGAAGCGGATTGAACAGTAGGTGGACTCACGGGACCTAGTGCCACTACGTTGCACAGAAACCAAACAGTCTTCTCGTGAAAATGGTACATCCTCTCCCCTATGCGTGCGGCGAGCCTACACCGCAGAACGGTAAATGTTGAGTCTTGCTGCGAGACTTCAGAGTCGTCTGATCGAATGAGAACGCAGAGGTTGAGAGACGTTGTGAGGCAAATGTCCGTTGACACCACGATTGAACAAGGAGGGGTTTGGCCACAAGTTGGTGTTTGGGTTGAACCTCGGCAGGCTAGTGGCGGACATTCCGAAGGAGCCGGACCAAACCGCCAAGCGCCGTTCGCGAAGGGCAGCGTGAACGAGGAGCCCGTACGCACCACGCTAGTATAACCCCTCTCATGTAGTCCCTGTGCGCAATGTCTTCATCCCCTCTCCACAACAACCTTGTACAAGACCAACATCAGCCGCCAGTGCTACCAGACGCACAATGGGTGACCTAGTCGATATGGCCGGTTTCGGTGAAGTCGAGCAGGTGGCGCCGCAACTGCAGGAAACGTTTGACATCGTGAGTCCTGCTTCTCCTTGCCTGGGGATCCTTTTCTGGACCCCGCATGACGTCGCGCTGGGGCTGGTACTGACTATGTATGTAACAGGACACCTTTGTGACCATCGCGGAGAGCGTGGCATGCGTATGTGACCTGCACATGTTTCTGCGATGCTTCGCGGGGATCCGTCGTCGCTAGTATCAAGAGCGGGTCGGTCAACCCACGGTTCTGGACGGAGCCGCATGTGTTCTTGAACTCTCCGCATAGCAACGTATGTCCTCGGGTGCTGTTCACAGCGTGTCCTTGGCTTACCCTCGCCCATGTCATCGCGGTACTTGGGCATGCGTTCGAGAAACCAATGAGCACGGTGCACTTCTGGATGCCGTTCGTTCTGTACCATCTCTCAAATGTCCATTCAAGCCCTCATATTTCTGTGTTTGCCCCTCCCAGTGCGGTGCATGGTGCAAGTACACCAGATGCATCCGCGTTCCTGGTGGCCACCAAGTAAAAACACACTTGCTCATTGCGAGTTGTATACGCAGAGGGTCGTGACGAGGAGCGACTCAGTGCTGGTTGGATATCACTAGAGTAGGGTACAACACCATTGATGAACATCCCTATACACACAAGTGACCATTTATGCAGATAGTTGAGCCTTCAATGCACGAGCGGTCCCCCGCGTCATGCGCCCGCTGATGTTTCCTAGAATGGCAGTCGTTTTGGGATCAGTAGCCAGCTTTGCCCGCTTAACTGCATGCTCTGGCGCATCGGACACAGAGCTAGTCCCCATTATCAGGTCGATTATTGCACCTATATTGGACGCATCTTCCTGATCAGCTGGTTGCGCGACAGCGACATCTTCCTGCTTCCTCTTCCTGCCGCGCGCCTTGATGTTCTCCGTTCTCTTAGCCTCCGCCCTCAGCCACCCAACCGTTGGTGCCTTTGCGGGACGGCCGGGTTTGCCTGTCAATTGCTTTTATGTACAGAGCGCATCAGACAATGACTTTGAAAGATGAGAACATAGGGCGCACCCGAGGAATTCGACCACCCTTACGCTTCAACTTCGGATCGTATTGGTTGTTTTTATAAAGCATGAAGGATGCCGGTCCGATCACTGTACGGAAACCCAGGGTACGTGCATCCTGCGGTGTCTCCTGCATTGTTTGTCAAGAATGATGCAACATGATTAAACGGGGCAATCAAAGCGACTCACAGGTGTGCTGTGGTTCCACCCCATACCCCAGCTTGCAGGGCGTTTCGCACGAAT